ATGGGGAAATTTGGGGATGCCCAGCCCCACCTACCAAAGCACCCTGTCATCAGCCCAGAGGGCCACTTTAGCGTCCTGGGAGGTTCTCCTGGGCAGTAGCCAGCATGTTGTCTGGCAATGGCTCCACAGAGATGACACCCATCCATATCATCAGGCTTGTTCAGTCTTCCCCAGCCCCTTTATAGATAACCTTCCTTTCAAAGACCTGGTGTACACTCTCAAATACTCCCCTCCCAGACAGAGGGAGGACCCTAGACAGCCAGTGTGGGAATGGAGGAGGTGTTGAAAAGAAAGCTAGGTCAGGCACGGTGTTCCATAACTATAGTCCTAGCACTTTGGGAGGCTGGGGAGGGAGGATTGCTTGGGGCCAGGAGTTCAAGACATTGTTGCATACCGGTTGAAAATATTTATTGAAGATATCAGGATCTTTTGCACATGTCATGTCTTTGGCTTCTCATTTAATCACCTGAGTTGACAGCTGAGGAAAGTGGCTTCCTCGGGAATGGGGAGCTCAACTAGAAACCCAAGTCGAGGCTGGCATCAAAGCTTCTCTTCCTGTGGATGCTGCCCCTAGCTGCATTCAACTCTTAAGTTCTAGGTAATTCCTTTTAGGCAGGTGCTTCCTGGACTCTTGCTTCTTTGGTCTCCTGTCCCACATTCCAGCCACCTTCAGTCCCAAGGGGAGCTGCCGTCTCTGGTTCCCACATATTTCTCTGAGAAATGACTTCTCATAGAGCCTGCCTCTCTATGATGACTTCCAACTCCTCACCTACTGCAACTGGGTCCCCAACCCTAAGAATCCTAGAAGCTGAGGAGGGCATTTTCCATTCAGCCTCCTGGACACTCTTTAGGGACATGATAGTCAGATTTATAAAATCTATATTTAAAAGTGTTCCCTGGCTGCTGATTGCATTGGAGGTGAGCCAGGGTGGCTCAGGAGACTTCACAGAAGACCAGATGAGAGATGATGGTTGGACTAGAGTGATGGGACTATGGTTTGGCTGTGTCCCCATTGAAATTTCATCTCAAATTGTAGCTCACATAATTCCCTTGTGTTGTGGGAGGGACATAGTGGGAGATAACTGAATCTGGGGGTGGTTTCCCCCATACTGTTCTCGTGGTGGTGAATAAGTCTCAGGGGATCTGATGGTTTTATAAGGGGAAACCCTTTTGCTTGGCTCTCATTCTTGTCTGTTGTCTCATTCTTGTCTCGTACATGAGAAATGTGCCTTTCACCTGTTGCCATGATTATGAGGCTTCCCCAGCTATGTGGAACTGTGAGTCCATTAAACCTCTTTCTTTTATAAATTGCTAAGTCTCAAGTATGTCTTTTTTTTTTTTTTTAAGACAGAGTCTCACTCTGTCACCTAGGCTGGAGAGCAGTGGCACGATCTTGGCTCACTGCAACCTGAGTTCAAGTGATTCTCCTGCCTCAGCCTCCCAAGTAGCTGGGATTACAAGTGCCTGCAGCCGTGCCTGGCTAATTTTTTTTTTTTTTTTAATTTTAGTGGAGACAGGGTTGCATCATGTTGGCCAGACTGGTCTCGAAATCCTGACTTCAAGTGATCTGCCCACCTTGGCCTCCCAAAGTGCTGGGATTACAGGCAAGAGCCAACCCGCCCAGCCTCGGGCATGTCTTTATCAGCAGCATGAAAATGGACTAATATAGTAAGTTGGTACCAAGGGTGGGGCACTGCTGAAAAGATATCCAAAAATGTGGAAGCAACTTTGGAAGTGGGTAACAGGCAGAGGCTGAAACAGTTTGGAGGGCTCAGAAGACAGGAAAATGTGGGAAAGTTTGGAACTTCCTAGAGACATGTTGAATGGCTTTGACCAAAATACTGATAATGATATGGACAATGAAATCTAGGCTGAGGTGGTCTCAGATAGAGATGAGGAACTTGGGAACTGGAGCAAAGGTGACCCTTGCTATGTTTTAGCAAAGAGGCTGGTGGCATTTTGCCTCTGCCCTAGAGATATGTGGAACTTTGAACTTGAGAGAAATGATTCAGGATATCCGTTGGAAGAAATCTGTAAGCAGCAAAGCATTCAAGAGGTGACTTGGGTTCTATTAAAGGCATTCAGTTTTTAATGAAACCAGAGCATAAACCTTTGGAAAATTTGCAGCCTGACAATGCCATAGAGAAGAAAATCCCATTTTCTGAGGAAAAATTCAAGCTGGCTGCAGGAATTTGCATAAGTAATGAGGAGCTGAATGTTAAACACCAAGGCAATGGAGAAAACATCTCCAGGGCATGTCAGAGACCTAGACGGCAGCCCCTTCCCACACACCCAGAAGCCTAGAAGGAAAAACTTGTTTTGTGGGCTGGGCCCAGGGTCCCTCTGCTGTGTGCAGTCAAGGGACTTGGTGC